GATGATGTTCTTGAGGGACTGCAGGTCTGCTGTCCAAGGATTCAGCTCGTTGTTGAAATAGTCCCCGTTCCCTGCGGGTTCCGCCGGATACACGTCCAATGCTGCACCGGCGATGTGACCCGAGCGCATCGCATCAATCAGCGCGGGGATATCTACGACCGAACCCCTGGAGGCGTTGATGAGGTAGCTGCCCTTCTTCATGGTCTCCAGCTCCTTTGCCCCGATCATGTTCATCGTTTCCGGCAGCTCGGGGACGTGGCACGTCACAAAGTCGGCGTCCTTGAGGAGATGTTCCAGGGAAGGAACTTGACGTGCGGTACCCAGGCCCATCAGGTTGACGACGTCGTAGTAGATCACATCCATGCCCATCGCCTCGGCCAAGACAGACAACTGCGATCCGATGTGCCCGTAACCAATGATGCCCAGAGTCTTGCCACGAATTTCCCAGCATCTCGCAGAGACCTTGTTCCACGTCCCGCGGTGCAGTTCATTGGAGCGGTCGCCCAGCTGGCGAGCCAACGCGATGATTTCACAGATGACCAGTTCGGCGACTGAGCGCGAATTGCTAAAGGGAGAGTTGAAGACGCAGATGCCATGGGCCGCAGCATATTTCAGGTCGACTTGGTTAGTGCCGATGCAGAAGCAGCCGATCACGATGAGATTCTTTGCTGCTGCTAGCACGCGGGAAGTGAGCTTCGTCTTGGAGCGGATGCCGATGACATGTACATCCCTGGATAGGAAAACCGGGTCAGTGTATGCAGTTCCAGCGATCGAAAGAAGCCACTCGACTCCGCTCTGGGATCTGTTTCTTACTTGATCTTCTCAATCAACTGATCCTCAGGCAAGCTAGATTTCAAGCACTCCACCTGGTATCCCTGGCCCTGCAGTATATCCCTGCCCGTCTGGTTGACATTCTCCAACAATAGAATTTTGACGTCCTGCTCGCGGAAGGGTTTTAGATGCTTGGGTTGAGGGCCCGTGATTGTTCTCCTCAGGCTAGGAGAGCCCCCACTGATATTATCGACTCCGAAGGAGACTTTGCGGTGGTGAAAGGTATCATTGGGAGAGGTGGACATGGAGAGACTGCGCGAAACCTCGCGACGGAGACTGCCTTGCGACTCGCCATTTTGCTGGATGCGAATACCTTCTGAGATTTGTGAGGCAGGCATAGTGGAGGGTGTTCGCAGATCCAACTGCCCGAAAGGAGAGAATAAATGCCGGTTACACCAGAGAGGACACAAGGACAGGCAACAAATGGCAGGGTTACAGAGTACGAGATACAGTAAATCCAATGACTCCTCGACGCAGGCGGCGGGACAAATTTTTGGCATGTCCGGGTATGACGTGAGGTTTTCTCGTATTCGGGTTAGCTTCAGCCTTGCCCAGAGTCTAGAGACTTTCATTGGTCAACATTCTCTAGATCAGCGAGGATAAGCGATGACGAGGCTGAACAGGAGGGGGGAGTCGACCTTTTTCCCACAATTGAAACCCATATGTCCTGCCTGGTACGATCGACTTTGAGTCTCTACCGGCTATATCAGCTACTGGCTATCGCTAAGCAGTGCCGTACGTTCTGATCCGATCATCGCTACTCTTCTGTATACCTCTTCCAATGATCTCTGCAATCAATTCTCCATCTGGTGGTCTCCATCTTGTTCTTCCGCAGGAGTTTGCTGTGACATTTTGAGCGCTTCCATCTTCTCAACCTCTTCTCGTGGCACCTCGTGTCGATTGATCCAGCTCAGGATTCTCCATATAGCGGTAAGCAATTCCTTTCTCTGCTCAACCTCGAACAGATCCAGCCACGGGCTTCTGCTGACGTATAGGACATGTTCTTTGCGCTGATCGGCCTTTACGTTGCCTGCAGTTTCCTGCGAGTCGGGTCGTGATCTTCTCTCCTTGCCGAACTCCAGCCAGTCCAGGTAGTCCTCGTGCACACTCATTCTCAAAATGCACGCGTGATGGTTCGCAGCCGATATCATGAAGATGTCGTCCCAGCCACTCGGTCCTTCATCCTGACTTGGTTTGCCAATTTTCCGATAGATCAACTTCTCGTCCCAATGGGGCCCATTTGGACGGACTTTCGTCCACTCTTGGTACCACTTCCGCCGTAGGGGCGGGACATACATAAGTCGTCTCCCATCTTTAAACTCGACTTTGTCTTTCGGCGAGCCGCTGGCTTCACCACTTCTCTTCTTCTTTTTCGGTCTCTCGCTCGGTGACGAGGGCCCAGACACCGCATTTTCAGACTGGAGATTTTTCAAGTCGGCGGCAGCCGCTGCCTCCGCTTTTCTTCGTTCCTCTTCCTCTTGTTCCCGCTTTCCCAGTTGTAGTCGTCTTTCGTCTGGACTCCAGCTTGGATCTTCGTCCTCAAACACTTCGCTGGCAAGCTGTCCCCATCTCGTCTCGCCGCCGCCCCAACGGCTCTTGATTGCCCACCACTGATGCTCGCTCGGTTCTTTGGACAGCGTCTGTCCTTCTCGTGCTCGTTGCTTTGCGAGCATCAACATACCGCCAATTTCGCGGAACAGATCAAACTTTTCGCCCACAAAATCACTCGTCGGATTTAGAAGCCCGTCCCTCGACTTGAATCTTACCTCATGTCTGCAGTGAACCGCCATTAACGGCCCTTCCACCATCCTGGCCCTCAAAAGCTTCATATCAGCCGGTAGTTTTGCAACGCAAAAATTATAGCACACAGAAGGGATATTAATGTTGTGGATTCTCAACTTTTCTCTCGGGCTCACGTCGTAATCTCGGCAGTTGAACTTATGTACGGCCATCTTCAAAAGGTTCCTCACTGCAGAGACTCGGGTACCAGGGCTCATCTGCTCGCCATTACCGAGCCGCACTCCTTTGTACACCTGCTTCATCTTTGGGCGGCTAGGTATCTCAATGGTGGAGGTAGTTGCCTGAATGTCGGATGAATGACTTGGATCTGCCGTTTGCTCAAGCTCTTGCCCGGAACGCTGTGAATTCTCGACAGAATCCTGCATCTCAATATCAGGTGTGTTATTGGAACTCTGTCCGACATTGTTAGTCTTGTGCTCGGTGTCCTTGGTCGGCTCTTCCGCGACATTGGTTTCGACCTCGTAGTAGTTATCTTTGCTGTAGTCCCAGTATCGACTCATGTCCTCCAAACTGGCGAAAAAGTTTCTTGAGTATGCCAGGCGGGGTTTCTTCCTGCCTTCAAGAGGCGGGAGTCGGAGAATCTCTCGGTATGCATCTTCATTGTCGAACTCAAGTTCCGCAAGCATAGCAGTTAGATCGCTGTCATACAGGAGTGGACGTGATTCGAATTGCTTATCGGGCACCATCTCTGGAAGTGGAACATCTTGGACCAGGTCAATGTTGAGATGCGCGAGATGGGAGTCGTGGATGTCGGGCAGTTTGCGAATCGCGGCGAGCTCTCTACAGATGTTCTTGATGTGTTGGCGACTCAATGGACTGTTACAGCGCGGAGGGACATAACTGGGAAATTCCAGCGGGATAGGCTTCGGCGGCGGATTTCGTTCTCTTTCAAGAAGACCATCACCTCCAGCGCCTGTCACAGGTCAGCACGTGGTCAATCCATCTTTAGCTCAGATAAGCTCAGATATACAAAAGACGATGAAGGAGATCAGCCGCTCTGAAAAGGGGTCTCGGTTGAGAATACCAGAGAACGAGGGGTATCGGAAAACCCGATCAAAAGGCGGTATAACACCGACTCTCGAAGGCGAACTTCAGTCCGAGGCTTGATCACCAGCAGATTCTGGGCAACAGACATCCCCCAAGTTGAGGTCAAGCCAGTACAGATTTGTGCGGTATACGAAGCTGTTTCTGACACATCTCGGACTTCATGGCCCCGGCATTTGGATGCCAAAGGCGTGCCTCGCTCCATCGTGGCGTAATTCAGGTGGATATGGTTCGTATTTGAACTTACCGACAGCTGCCCAACTTACTCCAAACATGATTATGGGAGTACCGTATCGAGAGTCTTACATCAAAGCGCAGCAGGTTGATGGTGCGCCGTGCTCGATCGTCGGCTTCACGTCTCTGTTTCGAGACTTGAGCACCAGGATTTTGACTGTTAGACTCAGGGTTGGGAGATGCCGTGGAGTTGCGCTGAATACTGAATTACTGTCCGCAGACTTGGTAGTGCAACTTGATTAGAATGACTAGAGGAGATGATCGTCAAGTGGCAGGCATTCCCCAATGACGACGACGAGGCTCGAGCTGAGGCAAGGAAGCTCAGGTCTTCAAGTCAAAGTGTTGGCGACCACTGGACTGCCTTTGCACCAGTGCGATGTCGACATCAAGCCCATCGATCTAGTGTGGCAATCCCATGTACAAGTCCTTGGGGGAGGAGGGGGAAGAAATCTGTGCTCCGGGGGGGTCGTCGCAACTGGCGTTGCAGTAGCGGATGTAGAGGTTATGGCGGCTTTTGGTGACAGGGGACCTGCATAGCGTTGCAGGTCGGTGGATGGATGCACTATGCAGGCACGCAGGTTGGGATGGTGATGCCCCCGATGCTTCTTTTAGTCCCAGGATGGGCATTGATTCAGGGCCTGTGGGAGCGTGAGGCGAACGACCCGCCTGACCTGTCTTCACTGGAGTTGCATGCACCAATAGAGGGCCATCACTATGGTTAGAGGAGATTATCGAGGTGCACTCCTCGTCTCTAGAAGGGAACAAGAGCATGGCATATCGCAGTAGTCGTGGACGAAACCCGAAACAGCCACGAGCCAAAGTCACCTGGTTGATCCGAATCCCTCGTTGCTTTATCATTGACGGCTGCTGAAACCACTATCCCACATACGAAGCCATGATTTCTATGCGAGGTCCATAGGATGTCCTTGTCCCCGTCATTTTGGCCCAACATACCCGTCCAGGTGTGCATACCATCGTTGTGCGAGAGCACGTGGTTGAGATTGTCCTCTAGACCAGTCTCATGCGATATGCTCAATGTGCTGCTCGTCACAATCGGCTCACGTCCTTCTTCACCGCACTTTTGCAACCTCCTATTCCTGCTTGGCCTCCTCCTCCTCAGCCTCGCCAGCAAGGGCGTTTCTCTTGGTCTGGATACGTTCCTGTCTCCGTTCACGAGCAGCCTTGGTCTTGGCACGTTTGGCGTCCATTTCTTCCTTGAGGATTCTCTCACGTTGTTTCTCGGCCTTGGCCTTGTGGATCTGTAACATAGTTATTAATTTCCATGCCTAGGATGAGAGTGAGTAGGGCGGGTAGACATACATGTTCGACCAAAGCACGCTTGTGCTTGAAGGTGTTACCCTTGCTCAACTGGTAGAGTTCGTGGTAGAGGTGCTTATCGATCTTGCCGGCAGCACGGTACTTGACGAGCAGACGTCGAAGAACACGCAAGCGTCTCATCCATAGAACCTGGCTGTTAAAGCGATATCCCATTAGTGTGAAGTTCTCTCGGTAGGACAGCGTTCCGTCGCGACCCATTATGGAATCGTTTCATCATACCTGGGCATCCGAGCATCCTTGGTACCCTTTCTCTTACCGAACCCTCGGTGTCTGCCAATTCTTCTAGCCGCATTCAACTCCCTGGCACGAGATCTCGAATGCATGGCCACCGGCTTGCGGATGATGAGTCCATCGCTGACCAGCTTCCGGATCGTCTGTCGCGAGTTGGCATTGGAGATTTCGTTGACTTCGTTGGGATCGAGCCAGATCTTGCGTTTGCCGCAGCCGACGACGGACGCCGCGAGGCGCTTCTGGGTGCGGAGGTTCGTCCTGGAAAAAAAGAAGCCATGTATCAGCGTCAAATCTTTCATCAACCTTGTCATGCAGTTTCCACCAGCCAGCAGAACAGGTCTGGATTTGAAAGCCCAAGAATGTCGGCAGTTGAGCTAACGCATAGAAAAAAGTTGGACTTACATCTTGAGACGATGACTAGAGAACGGTCGTTGTCGTGGTGTGCAGATAAAACCTCGATCTCTTGAAAGAGTCAAGGTCAATCGACTGTCACAAATTCATGGTGCGCCAAGCTTGGCACTATTCGCGCTAGTCCACATTAAGCCAACGAGGGGTACTTGTCGCCAGGCTTGGGCCATTGATAACTTGGGTGCTTGGCAAGGCTGGCTGGCTCTTGATACTATCAAGTATACCTAATACAGTGGCAGGACAGATTTTGTACCCAGTACTATAGTCCGGAACCCAAGAAACGTCGCATAATTATAAATAGAGCTTTTATTGTACTCGACATGTCATGAGTGGACGTCCCACGATTGGACAGACAGGAGCCATTGTTCCTGCAGCGCCTGACGTCTACAACTGCACACCCAAAGGGCAGTCCTAATCCTTGACACATGAAAATTACCAGGTAATGGGACTTTCTCAGTTGTACATGTCGTTGGCAAGGTCCAGCAGCCACATGTAGTCTTGCTCTCGTTCCCGCAGCCAAGAAAACATCTCATCAGGCGCCTTTCAGAATCATAGCTGTTCATCCATCCCGAATCATAATCCATCCACGCGTATATCGTTCCCTCATACACAACAAGGAAGCAGAACATCTAAACCCGTGAAATTCAGCCCTACCCCAAACGGCCGAAAAATTGCAAGTATAAATCGTGATTTTCGCCATGTGAGAGCGCTCGAAGGAAATCGTTTCGTAAAGGTCGTTAAAAGTCGAGGAATCAAACCGTGCGCGCTTGTTCCATTCGTTAGTCTTTAATCTTTTTGGCTCACGGGCCGTCGTAAATCTCGTAATCGCTTTTGGGGGAAATATATCGTGATGTGGCGTTACCTCGGAAGTAGAGCCCCATCGCAAGGTGCAAGCCTGTTTTTTTTCCACTCGTCACGCGTCTCTAAAACAGATAAGAGTCATCTCGACGAGAAAATTGAGACTTTTACCGCTGTCCTCCCGTCTTGATAGCTTGCATGTGGGGAGGTGTGTTGAGGGGCATGCTGTACGTGTCTTGACGTGCCGTCTTGCGCCGTTTCGGGTCATAACCATCATACTCTCGGCTGCTAGGACGGTCTTGATCATCGTCTTCGCGCCCGCGTTTCACCGAAGTCACAGCAGAGGGATGGGCAGGAGCTCCATACGTGGGATTCCCATAGCTGTCCGTTGGCCCACCCTGTGGAGTGCGATCCCTGCCACCCATGACGTTATATACATTGCTGGAAGGGGGCGGTCGGGGTGGTGTGTTGTACTCTCCTGTCCACTGGGGTTGACCTGTAGGCATGGTCCTTGGTGTAGCGTGGCCGGAACTAGCTTGATGCGTTGGAGAGCCTGACAATTGCTCAGGAGACATGTGTGGATGCTCACCGGTAGCACTGTACGTGTATTGCCGACCTGTGCCGTAAGCAGAGGGATTTGCGCTCATGTAACCGCTGTCTGGATGATCACTTTCATGTTGGGATGAGTGAGGCTGTGCGGAATATGCATCAGGCTTGGGGTCATGCCCATCTGCTCCAGTACTAGCGCTTCCTGGTGCAATCGGTGGACCCATATCAGTCTTCCCGTATGGTACCGTCTGCATGGGTTGGCCATACCGGCTCCCGTCTGGATGATGCGCATAACCCGTTTGAGAACTGGGCGTCGTACTATAATAATGTTTTGAACTCTCATACCCCGACTGTCCTTGATAGGATTGCATCCCTGGTCCAGCGGTCCCAGGTGGAGTCGTCGCTGGCGTGGTAGGCATGGATCTGGCGTTCATGCCAGTGTCAATGGATAGTGGCTGTGATCCCGGCGCGCCGTTCGTCATGCCCTGGGTTCCCCAGTCGTACGAATTTCCTTGACTACTCATCCCCATCACACTCGAAGCGCTTGTTGGGGGAGTCGGAAATGTATGTGCACGGTCGATACCCGGACGTGGTGCATTCGGATGCGGGGCAATTGAGTGCGGCGTAGGTGGAGCTTGGCCTGGACCGGGCATGCTATTGTGATGTTGAAGTGACGGTGCCTGAGGTTGGGGCGGACGAGTGGAATCAACGCTGTCCATGCGCCGGCGCTCTGTTGCTTGCACAACTGCATTCGTCCGAGACGCGTTCTCAGGATTGTAAAGCAGGCCGCCGATGTTGTGCACAAAAAGTGGGTACAGGAGGTCTGTAATCTTTTCCTTGTTGGCAAAATCAAGGGCACGTTCGAAAGGGATCCTGCTCCAGATTAACAAATGCTTCCACAACGGGATTGTACGGCAAAATGTACCAGACTCCTTTCAGGTGCATGGGTCCGATCTTGACCACGTGGCGAGTCTTTTCAGATTTCAAGATGCCATCCCGGCGTCCCCGGGTCATTCCAGCAACATTGAGAAGCTTTGTCCCATTAATGAAATGATTATCTGCACAGAAAGTCAGCATTTATGGGTACAGATGAACAAGGCTGGATTCGGGCGTTTACCTTCACGGCGAGCAACACAAACTCCCTTGGCCTCAACTTGAAAACACAGACTACCTTCATCTTCCCACAGTGTTGCTGTTACTCTTGGTTTCATGCCCGGGGGAGCAATTTGACCAGTAGTATCAAACGGTTGCTGCTGTTGGGGGAAGCCTGGGTTCGGAGCGGGCAAACCGGACGGTTGAGCCACGTACGAGTGTTGAGAGTTGGAGGCACCAGGCATGATAGCTTTTACATCGTCAGAAGGAGTCCAGAATTGTCTTCTCACAAATATGGGAGACCTACCAGGAAGTGAGGTGATCTGTTGCGCTACTGGACCAGTGGCAGACTGTGGAGAAGCAACACCGTTTGTATAGCCATAGGTCCCATAGGTCGGAGGAGGGCCGTAATGTGACGATGCGGGTATCGGAGGCTGTTGATACTGCTGGTAATGACTCAATGGCGCTGTAGAACCCGCATGGGAGTATGAAGGTCCGGACGATATGTGCGAACCGGGATGCATATCCAGGTACGACTGTGTTTGATTCATGTTGAATCGATATTTGGCAAAGCACCAATATTTGCTCGATGAGTTACGTCCGCCCAAGGCTAATCACAAGCAAAGGACAATATCACCCTGAGACAGTTGGATTTTTTGGATGGCGTCGAAGCTTGGTTCTTTGCGCCTCTTAGATCAATCACTAGAGAGACGGGGTCTTTCGACTTAAGACTCAGCCTGAACAACCCAAGTCCACAAATTTGTCCCGCCTCTTGACACACTTTGCGGAATATTGGCCCGTGTCAGGTTTAATCCACGAGAGTCAAAGCTTTATATGCGGACTGTGTGGGAGAGGAACTTGGGGTTCCAAGATGTTCCCCGTACGAGATCGGTGGAATGATTCCGGAAGGGAAGGACTAGCTGGGTGAAGAGTTTCCCAAGCTCACAGTCAAGCCTCATTGACTATTCGTGTGTCGGTAGCCCGCGTCGACAATTTCTTCTTCAACAAAGAAGACCAAATTGCAGACGATGTTGCCAAAGGGCAATCACGATTGGATTCTCTGACCGAGGAATCCAAGGCGTTCCAGGTGTCTGCCCAAGTGTGTCGACACTGGCAGTCGATTGCTATTTTCCCGCCGAGGGTTCCAGCACGGGAAGAAGGCGATGAAAGAGCGTCGTCAATAGGATCGCAAACTGCGCAGGTGGTCAAGACGTTAGCATGTATTTCATGATAGAGGTTGTGCAGCATGCAGGCACATGGAGCATGCAGCAAGATCAGCGGGAAAAAAGCAGCAGCTCGGTCAGACTGTTTTGTGCGGACTACTGGGCACGGGCAGTTTCGCTGAGTAGACTTTTTTCCCGTCCTCTTCTGAGCACATACCGAACAACTGGAGAACGCTTCTCAAACATGAAACTTGAAAAGGACAATCGTGACGCGCAATTAGGCCATGATTATGGACGGGCGAACAACATACACCTGGATTGGGGGGTTTGCAGGAAAGATGGTTCAATGGAGATCTGGAGAAAAGAGACAACGAGGTTTGGGAAGCAGGTAGGATGCAGAGACGCAGACGGTGTGCAGTAGCCGAGCGGGAGGACAAGAAGGTGTGCGCAGGTGGTGCATTAGAGCAAAATAGGCAGAGGGCCAGAGGTCCAGAGGTCGAGAGCAGGGTGGAGGGACTGGGGGGGAGGTCGGAGGGAGGGTGGTGTCAAGTTCAAGTCAAAGGGTAGTGGCCAGAAGCCCAGAAGCCAGAAGCCCAGCAAAGAGGCAAAGAACGAAAGCCGAAGCCGCTTGCTCTTTGATCCCACCCCCTCCTTCAACGAGGGCTTGCCCGCTACCTGTGCCCGCTAACTGGCCACAACCCAGCGTGGGCGGTGCATGATTGGCAACAGATTGTTCCTTAACCTGCCTAGGGGCGTCCTTCCCTGATGACCCACTGACTCTAAAGCCCCAGCACCATCAACAAGCCAGTGCAGGCCCCAAGCATGCCCGCCCAGCGAGACAGCGAGAAGGGGTTCCACTCCCCAACCATGGGCCTTTTGCCCTTCTGCCCAGTCGCAGGTGGTCGGTGATCCCTGGTCCACTCCTCCACCCACACTGTCTTTCGCCCTCACTCGCACACAGACATGCACACAGACCATGCTCCCAGCGATCCCAAGCGTGCCGAAACTTGCGACTTCTGAATGCTCCACGAAAGGTCAAACAAAGACCCACGGCGGGCGGACGCAGGCTGCCAATCGCAGCCGGAAAACGGCTGGCTTGCCTTTCTTCCCTTCGTTACGGAAGTTACTCTCCTCCTGCAACGACCACCCTTTTTTTGACCAAATAACGTTGCACCCTTGCCTATCGCCTCAGAGGGCTTGGGACAAAACTTACAATTACCATTGACCTTTGACGAACCCGTGAATTTCCTGCCTCCCTCCGTTCTACCAATTCCTTTGACGGAGCCTCCGTGACCAGCGGG